CAGTACCTACCTTCTAGGCTACCTATGAAGCTTTAGGTTTGCTGGGTGATGATCGTAAATGGTTCCATGCTATGACCGATGCAGCTCATTGGGCACTCCCACATCAACTTCGACAATTATTTGTGACAATACTTGGTACGGCGACGGGATTTACTTCGAAGGAAGTACGGAGGAGATCGAGGGGCGCAAGAGCGTGCGAGGGTTCGGCCGACAGGAGCCGTGATGTGATTGCGGCAGCAAGGGGTGACGATGAACAGGAAGACGCCGGGCGCCCAAGGGTGACTTGTAGTCACAATCCCAGGCTTACCTTTTATTGATCCATAGAGTTTGATACATATAGGACTCAACTTAACCAACTATCCCTAGCTTTTAGGACTCTGTAATCTCAACTAACCAAACTCTAATGACTCTCAATCGGTTGAGCCTAGCCACTACGGCGTCTATAGACTCTGCCGACCATAACATCTCTCCCTCCCTCGGGAAACAACTCGTTCGCGAGCTGGAAGGAAGGGGGCTTCCCGGAATGCAGGAACCGGCTCCCACGTTGCCTCGGACGCAGGCATGCCCGACCATTCGACGAGGACGTGCCAGACACCACGACGAAGTTCAGAGCGCAGTATGCGTTCCGGTCGCTGGAGAGGCCGGCCGTGGCGAAGTGGAGGAAGCAGAGGCTCTGACGTCGGCGGTGTACCCCGGAACGGCTTCAACACCCCGACATGGAAGACGTCGTGAATCCGGGCGCCCTCCGGAAGATGAAGACGGTAGGCCACCTCGCCCACCCACTCAATCACCTGAAAAGGGCCAGCATACTTGGGCCCCAACTTGCCACGACCGCTAGGGGCTAGGGACTGCGTGTGTCGATGAAGCATGCGGAGCAGTACTCAGTCCCCGACGGCAAACTCCAGGGCACGGTGCTTGGCGTCGTAGAAGCGTCGAGCGTACTGCTACGCCTGGAGGAGGCAAGCGCGCACCTCGTCCAAGAACTCATCCCGGTTGGACAACATGTTGTCGACGGCCTCTGTGCGCGCCTCCCTTGGAACATATGGCAACAGGTCGGGCGGAGGACGGCCGTAGACCACCTGAAACGGAGTAGTCTGAAGCGCCGTGTGATATGCGGTGTTGTAACAAAATTCCGCCCACGGCAGCCAGTCCAGCCAGTCGCGAGGGCGGTCACCCGTGAGACATCTCAAGTACATGGTGATGGCCTTGTTCACCGCTTTGGACTGCCCGTCCGTCTGTGGGTGGAACGTAGTGCTCATCCGAAGCTGGACGCCGGCGTGGCGAAAAAGATCGCGCCACACGTCCCGTGAACACTGGGTCACGATCGCTGACGATGGACTCGGGAAATCCATGGAGGCGCACGACGTCCTGGAAGAAAGCCCGCGCCACTGCGACGCCGTGTAGGGGTGGCCCAAGGGAATGAAGTGTGCATACTTCGAAAACCTGTCAACCACGGTTAGGAGAACACTTTTACCGTGGACCTTGGGAAGCGCCTCAATGAAGTCGAGGGAGATATCTGCCCAGACTCGCGAGGGCACCGGTAAGGGTTGCAGCAGTCCCGCGGGGTGCAACGTCTCCGTTTTGTTCTGCTGGCACGTGGAGCAGGAACGCACGAAGTCGCCGACGACACGCCGATCATGCTCGACGTAGAACTCGGTACGGAGCCGCCGTAGAGTCTTTTGGATACCCTCGTGGGCTCCTGTGTGGGCGAGCTGGAGGACGTCGTCCAGGAGCGGGGGTGCTGCAGGCACGAAGACGCGTCCGTCATGGAGTATGAACCCTCGTGGACGGTCCAGGAGGCCCCGTGCACATCGGCGGCCACGGCGTCGCGGCGTGCGCACAACGTGGCGTCGGTGTCCAGCTCCTGGCGGAGGTCATCAAAGAGCCAGAACGTCGGAGTCGAGAGTGCCGCGAGGGACGCCGCATCAGTGTCGCAGAGACCCGCCAAGAGTGGGGTGTCGCCGTCGCGGCGGGACAGCGCATCGACCACCACGTTCGCCTTGCCGGGGCGGTACTCAATCCTGAAATCATACCCGAACAATTTGCTCACCCAGTGATGTTGTGGAATTGTCGCAAGGCGCTGGTCGAGCATGAACTTGAGGGCGTAGTGATCAGTCCGGATGACGAAAGCGCGCCCCCAAAGATAAGGGCGCCAATGGCGGACCGCTTGGACGAAGCCGATGAGCTCGCGCTTGTACGCAGCCGCTTTGAGGTGCCGAGCCGCAAAGGGCCGACTGAAGAACGCGATGGGACTCCCGTCTTGATGAAGGACGGCTCCGAAGCCGGAGCCGGACGTGTCGCAGTCCACGACGAACGTGGCGTTGAGGTTCGGGAGATGGAGCACTGGCGCTGCACACAGCGCGGCCTTAAGGGCCGTAAATGCCGCGTCGGCGGTCTCTGACCACTGAAACCCCTCTTTCCGCAAGAGCTGCGTCAATGGGGCGGCGATGGTGCCGTAGTCTTTGATGAACCGGCGGTAGTAGCCGGCTAGCCGGAGGAACCCGCGAAGGCCACGCGCCGAACGCGGCTGCGGCCACGACTGTACAGCCACCACCTTGGTCGTGTCCATGGCCACCCCCTCAGCCGTGATGACATGGCCAAGGTAGTGGACCGACGAGGTAGCGAAAGAGCATTTGGACCGCTTGAGATGCAGCCGATGCTCACGGAGGACGTCCAAGACGGCGCGGAGATGCTGTAGGTGCTCGGTCCACGTGGAACTGTAGACGAGGATGTCGTCGAAGAAGACGAGAACGCTGCGTCGTAGGAACGGCTTGAGGACGAGGTTCATGAGCGCCTGGAACGTCGAAGGCACGTTGGACAAGCCGAAAGGCATGACCAAGAACTCGAAGTGGCCGTGATGTGTCCGGAACGCTGTCTTTTCCACATCAGCGGGGTCGATGCGGACCTGGTGATAACCTGAACGGAGGTCCAACTTGGTGAAAAATTTGGCGCCATGGAGCTTGTCCAGAAGCTCTTCGACGACCGGGATCGGGAACTTGTCTTTCACCGTCACGGCGTTGAGTGACCTGTAGTCGACACAAAAGCGCCAAGTCCCGTCCTGCTTCTTGACAAGCAGTACCGGCGCGGAGAAGGGGGAAGTGCTATCCCGTATGACCCCCTGCTGGAGCATCGCCTCGCACTGCCTCTCCAGCTCATCCTTCTGGAGGTGGGGATACCTGTAGGGGCGGACGGCGACAGGTTCGGTGCCGGGCTTCAAGTGTATCCGATGATCACAGGGGCGCGTGGGTGGGAGCCCTGTGGACTCCGCGAACACGTCAGCGTAGGTGTCGAGGAGACGGTCCAGGAGGGCTGGCTCCGCCCCCTTGTCGGTTAAGATGTGGCCGGAGAGTAGCTGCTCTGCGCGGCCCGTGCTTGGCGAGCCAATGCCCGTCCACAGGACGCGGCGGCTGCGGAGGACGAACGCCATGCGAAGACCCTCAAAGTCCCACAGGATCGGCCCCAGGGTCCGCAGCCAGGTGACCCCCAGGACCATGTCGTAGCATTCCAGTGGGATGGAGAAGCAGTCCACTGGGAAGACTTCTTCGCCGATCTCGAGCTTGGCGACGTAGGCGAGACCACGGCACGCGACTTGGTCCCTGTTCGCCACCACCACGTGTGCACCGTGGCAGTCCTGAAGCTGCAGGTCCGCGCGCCGAGTCGCCTCTGTGTTGATGAAGTTGTGAGCTGAACCGGAGTCCAGGAGTGCGGTGAACAGGTGCGCGCCAATGCGGACGTGGAGCTGCATGGTCTTTTCGGTCCGGATGCCCGTGATGGCGGACAGAGAGATCATAGGCGCGTCGGGGTCGAATGGCGATGCAGCCGGGGCGTCCTCCGTGTCATCCGGCTCCGCTACGATGTAATCTGAGGCCTCGAGGTAGAAGAGCCTGGCACACTTGTGCCCCCTTATGTATTGTTCATCGCAATTGTAGCATAAGCCCATCTTGCGCCGTTCCGCCATCTCCTCCGGTGTGAGGCGCTTGAACGTGCGCGGCGCTGATGCCGAAGAAGTGGCGCTGGAGAGAGCTCGTGCAGGCAGCGCGGCTGGTGCGCCAATAGGGCGGCGCGTCAAGCGCGGTGCCGGCAAGGCAGGAGCCTGCGAGGCGTTACGGCGCTCATAAGCGCGCGCAAGCCGCATGGCATGTTGCCGGTCCTGTGGCTCGAGGAGCTCGATGTCAACGCGGATGTGTTCCGGCAGACCGCCGGTGAACAGGCGCGCCTTCTGCAGCGTAGAGAGGTCGCCGGCGTGTGCGGCACGGGCTTGAAACTCCGCCATGTACGCGTCCACTGATCCTCCAAACGGCAGCCGGGCCAAGTTGGCGAGGTGGTTGGTGCTGAGGGCCGGCCCGAAGCGCTGCTGACACATGCGACGGAAGTCCGGCCACGCGGGGCGGCCTATGTCGCCTTCCAAGACGAGGTACCACTGTTGAGCCACGCCCGTTAGGTGATACGATGCGAGCCAGACCTTGTCCACCTCCCGTGTCATCTGGCCGCGGAAAAACTGCTCACACTTGTTGAGCCAGCCGAGTGGGTCCTCTTTGCCGTCGTAGGTGGCGAACGTGAGTTTTTGGTACTTTGGCACAGCCACGCCCTCCACCTCCGGCGGTGATGGGAGATGTGGCGACGTCGAGGACATGTGCGACGTCGGCGCCGAGACGTAGGGCAGTCCTGTAGATGAGAACACCGGCAGCGGTGACGGTGAGTGCGGAAAATTAATCTGGGTGATCGGCACACCCGTCGACGGCGGTGGATCAGGCGGCCGCGATCGTTGCACCGCTGGAGATGATAATGGCGCAGACGGCGGCGGCGCCACGGCGGATTCCGCGGATGCCGCAGCGACCTCGGAGATCACCGGCGCAGAGGTCGCGGGTAGGGCTGGGACCCCACCGAACCCCGGCAAGCCGAAATGCGGGAACGCTGGCCGGCCGTCGAGCGCCGAAAGTCGGGCACCCTGGTCCGCTATGTGGTGATTGATGGCTGTCATCTGGAGTTGGAGGCCCGCGATGGCCTGCGTCAGCGCCTGGAGCGCCTCCGCGGTCGACATGGGTTCGGACGCGGACGGCACAGTGGGCACAAGGGTGCCCGATGTGCCAACCATCGGCAGCAACACGGCGGATTGTGGCACGGCGGAGGCAGACACGCCGGTCGTGGGAGCAGCGGAGGAAGGAGGGACCGTCGTCGATGAGTCCCCGGATGTTGCCATGGTCTCTGATACCAGGTTGGTACGGCGACGGGATTTACTTCGAAGGAAGTACGGAGGAGATAGAGGGGCGCGAGAGCGTGTGAGGGTTCGGCCGACAGGAGCCGTGATTGTGATTGCGGCGGCAAGGGGTGACGATGAACAGGAAGACGCCGGGCGCCCAAGGGTGACTTGTAGTCACAATCCCAGGCTTACCTTTTATTGATCCATAGAGTTTGATACATATAGGACTCAACTTAACCAACTATCCCTAGCTTTTAGGACTCTGTAATCTCAACTAACCAAACTCTAATAACTCTCAATCTGTTGAGCCTAGCCACTACAGCGTCTATAGACTTTGCCGACCCTAACAATACTTCTATTTTGCCAAGTCACAAGCCCAACAAAGCTGTTTGATGAATTTGCACAGAGAATGGGAGATGACATGCGGTATCGCATTGGTCGACTCACACCAAGACTGCCCGAGCCAGTACTTCAGAGGCAAATCAGATCCTATGTTCTACTTGAATTAGACAACTTGCTAAAAAATGTCGGTTATGCATTGGATCGCTTCCAGCTACCACAACCAGATGATGATACCTCAGCAGTTCTTGAAAATAGACTGATACTGGATGAACTCTCTTATGGATCTGATGGTACAGCAGAATTAGCGATTCAGCAGATTGCACACTTGAATCCAGACCAGTGGCTTATTTACGACACTATACAACATTCAGTTACGGGTAGATGTGGTCATACCTTCTTTGTTTATGGATATGGTGGAACTGGGAAGACATTTCTATGGAACACCCTACTAAACAGTATTAGAGGCCAAGGAAAAATAGCACTGGCAGTTGCGTCATCTGGAATAGCTGCATTGCTGCTGCCTGGTGGTCACACGCCTCACTCACGCTTCAAAGTTCCATTGAACATTCAAGAACACTCCATGTGTGCAATAAAGAAAAACACAAAGTTATCAGAATTGATACAGCAAACTGCACTCATTATATGGGATGAAGCGCCAGTCAAGCACAGGCATTGTTTTGAAGCGCTTGACCGTACACTTTGAGATATAATGTCATCAAATGATCATGCTTTGGCAGATAAGCAGTTCGGTGGGATTACAGTTGTCCTTGGTGGAGATTTCAGGCAAACTCTTCCTGTATTTCCCAGTGGAAAAAAACATCAGATTCTATATGCATCCATTACTCGCTCTTACTTATGGCAGTCCTGCTCTGTTCTTCAGTTGACAGAAAACATGAGGCTTCAAAGTTCGTCGCTTTCACCTGATGACAGAACTGAACTTCAGCAGTTTGCTGAATGGCTTCTCTCTGTTGGTACTGGTAACACTCCCAATACCACTCCTGCAGAACAGCATGATACTACCTGGATCCAAATCCCAGATTACTTACTGTTACCGCCAGAACAGAGGAGCCTTGCAGGCCTGATCTCTTTTGTATATGGATCAACACTGCACATCTCTGAATTACCGGATTATCTATGTGAAAGGGCAATTTTGGCTCCAACCAATGAACTAGCTGCTGCCATAAATTCTCAAATTATGAGCCAAATTGCTACTGATGAGATGTCATACTATAGCTGTGACACCATCGATGACTCATCAGCTAACTACTGCACTGTGCAATCTCTGTACCCTACAGAATTTATCAACACGATACGCATGAGTGGGTTACCAGACCATCATTTACAGCTAAAGGTTGGCGTTCCTATAATGCTTCTTAGAAATCTAGATCCAACAGAGGGCTTATATAATGGAACAAGGCTCGTAGTGACACAACTTACTCATCGTGTAATCGAAGCACAAATCATCACAGGAAAAGCAAAAGGAACACTAGCCTACATTCCAAGGATAGTGGCTACTTCAACTGACCCAAAGTGGCCATTCAAAATTAAACGGCGCCAGTTTCCTGCTCGTGTTTCATATGCCATGACAATAAATAAAAGCCAGGGACAAACATTAAGTAAAGTTGGTGTCTACCTACCAAGCCCTGTATTTTCACATGGTCAGCTGTATGTTGCATTTTCACGTGTTACATCTCCAAGAGGCCTATGGGTCCTCATTGAAAATAATCCTCCTGGATATGAGCACAGCACTCATAATGTTGTCTACACCAAAATTTTTGAGGAGATATGCGTTTGATGTACCCGAACTGCCAAGGTCTTCTCTCTACCCTCAATTTTCCTTATCATCAGTCACCTCTATTTTTTTTATCCTCTAATTCAGGTCCTTCTGTTCCAGGTTTACTGTATTGACTGTGTAGTACTGAGTACCCTCATGTAAAAATTGCATAGGTTCTATGTCATCTCTGCACTACACCTTTTGCCATGATCCATGCTACTGAACAGCTCCCTCCTCAGAAGGTAACAATTTCTCCTCTAATCCTCTTTGTTTGTGCCTTTATATGATATATTTCACAGATATTTCACAGGGCACTTAGCTATTGCTCAAGAAGCATTACATATGGCCACATTATTACGTTGCCTCTCTATAATTAGTTCAGGTGGTTACACGACTGCTACGTCTGAATTATCTTTGCTGCCTCCAAATTCTATATGAACCATATTACCACCGATTCTATTTTCTGTTCTCATGATTAGTCAAATGGCTCCGAATTAAATGTAATGGCCACTACAGCAAAATAAAGCTTTTGTTTCCAACTACATATTAACAACCTGACATACTGTTTTTTATCCCATTAACATGAACTTCACGTAATCAATGATAACTGCACCAAGGATATGGTCACATATGCATTGGTGCCTACTCAGGCTGTTTGTGTTTCAGGCGCACTCTCTACGTCATTGCTTCAAGAACCTAATAAGCCTTTCTTTTTGAAAATATAATGTACCACTAAGTTCAAAAAAACGTCTTACCTTTGCAATCACAGGCTGCTAATTATGAGCTTGCCCTGGAATATGCGTGCTACACACAAAGTACATATTTGGCAATTGTTAGTATTAATCAAAATGGTATCCCTGTGATGTATGCCTAAATGTTACTCAATTTCAGTACATAGTGTTTCAGTAGCCTTGGGACAGACAGAGAATGTTAGCAGGTTATGTGAATTGTCAAAATATTTTCTTATACATTTCCAGTAGGTTGCTTTTTTTTTCTCTCTACCTATGTATCAGCACCATACTCAAATCGAGAATGTATATCCTTCAAGCTTTTCCTAGGCTGATTGTTTCTCGGCTGCCTTTTCGCATCATCTACCTACAATTAGTTGCTCCCTGACACAACTGTTGCTATTTCAGGTTCCACCTAAGGATTACATACACTATATGCTCTTTCTACAATCACTCCTACTGCATACTCCATGCTTGCAACGTGACTCCTTCCGTACCAGGTAATAGGTTTTCCATCCATGATTGCTCCATAGTATCTTCCACACTGTTTAACAATATAAGACTCAGTTTGTTAGTGCCTTTTACCTTTTCCAAGGACACAGACCCAGTCCCTAAACCTTTTGGTAACTACATATGTACTATTAATATTTCCTGGCCACTGTCATTTCTCCTTGAACCTTGATTGTTTCTGCTGGGTTTCAACTCTAGCCTACCCAACTTGTTTGGGACTTAAAGGCTTTGTTGTTGTTGTTGTCGTCGTCATTTCTCCTTGATAGTGCTTGTTGCCCAATGAAAGTTTGGACACATCCAGTCTGTACTACATACCTTCCTCACAGTATGGGCTCCATAGGTTTAGGTTTCCTGACCTCTTTTTATAATCATGTTTCTATTTGGTCAATAATCTGTACTATTACACCACTCTGTTGTCATCAGCTAATAGGCCCCCACCTACCCACCCACATACAACTTTTCTCGGTAAAATGCTGTGTTTGTTAACCTCTTCTTCTTTTACTATCGAGTTTGAAGCCACCGTTTCGATCTGTACACAAGTATCAGTTGTTTCAAGCGGAAAGAGCACATTTCTGGATTTTTGGTTCACCGCATATGCAAGATCAGCATCTTCCCACAGTAAGCGTGTGTCCGTCAAAGCACCAAAACTTCATACTTTCATAGTCCTATTCTCCCCGTATAAAAGACGTCATGTTCGACCTGTTTCCACATGGTATGGATCTAAATGTGACATATATGTCACCTCGCCACTGCACCTAGATCTGTTGAACACCGCGTGTACTGTTGCCCGCGCGAAGCGCGGGGTTCCCAGCTAGTAATAATTGAAAATTGCGCGCGTATCTGACACTGATGTGCAGATATTTTGTTTTCTTGGGGCGAAAGATGGTGGAATCTTCATCAAATTAAGGGGTTGGCCAAGCAAATTCTTCGTGATTTTGCAAGCGTTTTCAAACTAGTGGGTGTAGCTGTAAGCCCTGCTTCCCAGGCACATTTAGTGTATTTAAGTTTTTAGTTAATCTATGTCATTAAATCCTTGGGTAGCCCAAGAGTTGTGCGGGTACCCAGGCAGATATTCTGTCTAGTTAAAGCTCTAGTGAGCTGTATGTAATCAATGCAGTACTTATCCTCTATATATTGCAATGCAGTCGCCTGGGAGAGTTGCCCTGGCTGATTATTTCTCTGTTAACTCCAACAGTGGGCACGCGTATATAATTGCAACATACTCACATGTATGTCGTGTCAAAATCTTATCTTAACAGGAAAACTTGATCTTTTTTATGGGTGTGATGATGATGATAAATACTCCGTCCATTTCAAAATCTAAGATGTTCTAGCTTTTCTAAATCTAAGACGTTGGCTTTTTTAAATACACCATTTTTACTTATGTATCTAGATATAGTGTATATATCTAACTACATAGCAAGCTATGTATCTATTTATAATTTGAAATGAAGGAAGTAGATAGATGGATTGATATATAATTTACGATTTTGTTCATGTTTAAATGATTCATTAGTCTCCCAACTTCTTTTCACGATCGTGCGTCCTGCAATTTCTTTCTTTATCAGTTTTTACTATTCTATGTGGCTGCCTGCCTCTTTTTCTGTTGGATGGTGGCTGACTTGGTTCAGAAACAAAAAAGAAAACACCAGATTTGTCTTTAAGAACATCAGTTTTGTTTAGACAAATAGTAAATGCATCAGTAACTTGGCTGAAATTGCAGCGATATGGATACAGGTATACAATTGCTACAACAAAAGTAGGTCGAAAATATGTGCTGGTCATGAAACCGCTAATAATGGTCTAATGCCGATCATCAATGAGTTTGAGTCTTGGAGATGTCTCTGCCCACTGTACAGTTCATATCAACAGCTGAACAGCAATTGCAGCTATGAAAGCAACACCACCAAAGTTCAAGTACTCACTCCGTTCCAATATGTAGATTGCTAGCTTTAGCTCTGTTCTAAGTTGAACTTTCCTAAATGACCAAATTCATATAAAAAATATATTAACATATACAAATATCAAATAAATGCACTGTCAAGGTATATTTCATGGTGGATTTAACCCAACTATTCGCTAGTGTGATGTTGGAGTAATTTTCATTAAAATTGATCAAAGTTGGAGAAGTTTGCCTTACAGAAAACTAAAATGACCTTTTTGAAATGGAGATAGTATCGAAACAACATAATGAGCAATTATATCTTTTTTAACGAAAAGGAAGAAGCTTTGTGCTTAATTAAGATGAGGAGCAATTCAGTACAAAGACATGACACACTTACACCCCCACATAAGTAATTATATCACAAATAGGAAACCATAAACTATCTGGTATGCGACGGTCAGGCGCCAACAAGAAGGCTAACGGAGATAAATAACTGATGAATTCTCTCTCAGTAAAAACACAGCATTATCAAACACCAACACTAGCTTTAACAGGTTCAGTTAAAAAAGAGAGCACAAATAACAACAGACTGGCTTGCAGCATTTCATTCCTCTAGCTTCAGAAGCACTTAATTGATAAACAAACTTAAAGTTTATGAAGTACTATTGCATTCACACATGGGTAAAACAAGGAAATGGCAAGTTTGTAGATAGACACTTCAAAAAGCTATACACTCAGTGTCTTAGACCTTTACAGACCATTGCGCGATACTCATGATGCCATGCATCATGGTCTCAAGGATGACACTGCAAAGCTTTCGTTTCTTGAGATCGTGCTAAGCATTCCTCTGTCATTGCATCAAGTAGGAGGCAAAACATGGCACAATGACACTTGAGATCGTAGAGCAGTTTATGCTAAGCAGCAAACAAAGAGGAAACTTACAGTGCTTATCACAACCTACTACAGACGATAACTACAAATAAAGAGATGCAAAAACATGCCAATTTCCCCTAATTTCCAAGAGTTCACTCAAAGAAGTTTTACAGGCTTACGCATTGAAAATTGGCAGCTCAATTTAGTATGTAGGGATGACTGACAATATTCACCCAGCAACTCTACCTTCTACCTTCACTGTGTGACCTACCATCTGAGTGACCACTCTACTAATATTCGAAGAGTTTGAATAGTGCAAGAAATAAACACATTTAATATTATTCAGATGAAACTTGATCATCTAAACCATTTTATTTAATATGGTATAAATGTTTTCACACATTTTGGGTATGCCAAAATTGGTGTCAACAGGCCTGTTCATATGAAAACACCCTCTTGATCTATAAATGCAGATGACATGGGCATGGATGGCATAAACCTTTCTGCGGTCCATGTCATATGTAATTAGTGTTCTATCCTTCCCAACAAGAAAAATAAAATTCCATTCTAGGTGAACTGTAATCACTCTGGACTCATCATAAAGCTCAGAAGCAACTTTAATATTCATGTGTCCAAATAGTTCATCCGTGTTCACAACATGCTTCAATCTCCAATTATCAGTACCATAGTCTTCAAGTATCCACATTAAAAGTCAAGACATACTATGAAAATCAGCACAGCACACAGAGGTGACCCTGAGCTTGATGGATGGACATTTTAGCACCATGTGGTTTACGAATTGTCCTCCACGTCTTTCCCTCCATATCCACAGCAACTATCACAGAATACTTAAGCATGTGCATAAAACCATTAAGAAAAACACTTCTCGATTTTAGCCTTATCTACCTCAATCCCCCTCACGGACACTAGGTGCCCAAGAATGATGCCCTCACGGACCATGAAATGGCACTTCTACATTATTTTATATTAATTATCAAAGTTCAGCTTAGAATTAAAATGAAAAGCTATTTCTATTTTCCATGAAAAAAATAAACCGATTTCGGCCCAACGCGGCCCACACGCGGAGGCGGCCCACGGCGGGGAGCCCCCGCGCACTAGCACTCTTGCAAAAACGCCCTCGCGTTATCAAACAATAGCGCGAACACTACACGTATTATTTCTATAGACAACGACTTTGCAACGGAGCCCTCGTATCTTTTCACCTTCGCACCGGAGAGGTCCCCGAGATGCCCCGCGCTCGCCGGCGTGGCGGACGGTGGCACTAGACGGTACACCGGCCACTCAAGGCTCGCACCAATCCAACTAACGAGCCGAACCCCATCTACGACCCTAACGCCTACCCTAAGCGGTGATACGGAGCAACAGGGCGCATTGGAGCGAGCTGTCACCGTGCGCGGTCGCCCACGACGGCACCACGGTCATCCCGGCGAGCTACAACACTAACAGGATGGTAGAGATAGGGGATAAGCACCAGGGGCACACTGCGAAACCGGCCGAAGTGGTGGTTCGGCCAGTGACTACCTGACTAGGGCTGGCCACATGCGCGCGACGAGCACGGCGACAAGCCACGGCGGACATGGACGCGTCAGCGGCGGTGGGGAGGTGGTAGCACTCCCACTGGCGTGTGCACGGTGGAGAGGGAGCCAAGGCGAGCTAGTGGTGCAGAGGAATTTACGCGGGGTAAAGTGGTGGAGGCTGGCCATGGCGCGGGCGGTGACGGGTCTTAACAGCGTGGTGGCGGGGTGAAGCTCAAAAATTGAGGCTCGACTGAGCCGCAATAAAAGCGGGGTGGGGCGGCTGGAGAGGGGACGTGAGGGCGGAGGCGCGGACAAGAGGGATTGATGAGAGGTGACCCCTCGTAGCTGCGACGCTGATGTGATTCGATGGCGGCAGGGAGACGAGAACAGAGAGAGAGGGAGCAGTGGGAGAGGGGCAACCAGCGACTCGGCAAGGGCGTGCCTTGGCGGGACGCGGTTGGCGCGACCAATGCAGCTCATGGCTAGGCACTAGCCGACAGACACGCATGCTCATGATTGGTGTGGCCCGCGCGCCGTAGTGCCATCAATGGCTAGGTGACAGCGACACGGCCATGTGTGCGTAGCGTCAAGGTGGGCCAGTGGCGCAGCGCAGCTGTAGGCATGCAGCATGGTGATGCAACGGTGGCGGTAGTGGCGTGGTCATGGTGTGGGCACAGAGGCAGCAGTAGCACCA